CGGCGCTCCCGGGGGCGGATGAGGGAAGGGTGGCGCTGTGCTGGGCGGCGCAGGGGAGGGTGGCGTGGGGTGGTGGTGAATGTACGGCATTCCCTCCAGTTTCCGAGTCTTAATGTACGGTGTTATATACTATGGCCGGCGGCGGTGACGACTCCTGGCTGCAGGTCAAGTTCATTTTGGGGCTTGTGCGCGGCCTTGCCAACGGTGCACCTGTTATGACCCGTGGGTCATGGAAGCACCGCACGCATTTCGGTCCGGCTCTGTGGCCGCCGCCGCCGCCGCCGTCCGCGTCATCTCCGCCTACGGGTGCTGCAGCGACAGCGGTGGCGAGCTCTTCCTCCAGCGCAGCCGCAGATCCGGTTGCTGCTGCCTGGGTGTCCTCCTATCCAGAGTTGATATCAACCTGAGTGCTGACGTGTTCGACATCGTGCACGACGCCCAGGTGGGCTGGGCTGTCTTGTCTTGGTTTGGTTCGTTCGGTTGAGTTCGTTAGGGTCTGGGCAGGTTGAGTTGGGTTGGTTAAGAGTAGGTTAACAGGGTGGGTTTGGGATGGGGGGGGGGGTAAGAATGCAGCAGTCATGAAGCGAAGGAAAGCGCCCCGGAACTTGGGTTGATTCTTACAGCTATCACCCCATCCACACACACATATCATTGTGTCTTCATACCGTCGTTTGCATAGTTGCGTTTGCGGGGCACGGTTACCGGATATGCCTTGATGTCCGTCTGTCTGTCCATCTCAAACCAAAACTTGAAAAGCTGGCGTGTGATTTGAATGGTGTGCGACGCCCGTTCACCTTGAGAATGCTGCTCCAGGGCCTTACCCCCCGCTCTCCCCCACATACACACGCACACAGGTGTGCATGGGCGGGGTGTCATGTGTAATGTGATGTTGGGGGTAAATGGCAGTACACTTTCGTGTACGACCCGGATATCAACCGGATGATGGCCCTCTTGCATTTGCCCGCAGGACACTGACGACCCCTCCGACCTGGTGTGTCTGAGGACCCGGAAACTGCGTTACGGCAACACGTTCAGTTACTCACGGGTGGGTCGGTGGGCAGCTTTGGATATGTATGTGTGTTGTTGATGTTGTTGATGTTGTTGATGTTTTTGTAATTACAGAGGGCTGCCAAGTTTCTATACCGCAAGGCAAAGAAACCACGATCCAAAGGGCACATCGCCTGTTTGTGTGCGTGTGTGTGTGGTTCGGTGGGGGGGGGTCCTGCGTGCATCGTTTCGTTGGAAGTTGGGTCTTAAGTTGGTCTGGGCCGGGACTGCCATAATCTTTGGTCGGCCACCAGCTTTTGTGGAGGCGGTGGGGGACCCACCCGGATCCTCACACGACCAA